ACACTAGCCTCGAGGTCAACTCTCCGTCCACTAAGCCACATACTCTCTCAAAAAGTACTCTTGAAAAAAGAGAATGGAGGAAAGATGGCTAGACAATAGTTTATTTTTGAAAGATCTTTTTAAAAAAAAATTTAAAAGCAGACTGCAACCTGTGGCAGCCAAAAAAATAATCTCATAATCTCATAATCCCATAATCTCAGGCTGCTACAAAACTAAGAGGATGCCAGTCCCCTGTATCAAATGGATCCTGATCAAACCATGTCTGGAATGTTGTATTCTGTCCTTGATTTTAAGGACGTTGACAAATCAGTCAGCCAAGCAACAAGCATTTATTTAGCTTTTGCTATGTGCCAGGGACAGGAAAGAGAAATATTTTTGAGAATCCAGCCAATGCAGGTTGAGAAATGGAGGACCAGAATGAAGAAAGGACCGGAGACCACACCACCCAAGGATTAACGAAGGAGCGTGTGGTGTTTAACCTGAACAGTACTGGAGGTGAGTCAGATAAATTGTCTGAAGTAACACAGAATCACAGAATCTTAGAGACGGAGAAGAACTCGAGACCATCTGGTTCAACCCATAACTCAAATGAAATCTCCTCTACATATCCCTGATAAGTGTTCATGCAACATTAGCTGCCATGTTAGACCCTTCGAGATTGATATTAAGTTCACATTAAGTGGACCAGGGCACTAGAAAGCTCACTCCAAGTTGACATTGATCAATTAATGACCATTGGGTTTGCTCATTCAACCAATTATGAATTGACCTTACTAGACTATTTTGCCTCATTCCACAGCCCCTCAAACATTGCCTGTTTCCATCTTTTGTTTCCCAATTTTGTAGATGTCTGGTGAAAACTTAGCTTTTCTAATTGTCATTTCTCTCGGTGATTTTGAACATTTTATAATTTGGTTGTCCATCATTTGAATTTCTTTTGGAAACTTCATTTGATTTTTTTTTCATTTATGTATCCTATTCTGTTCTTCATGAATAATACCATACTGAAGGCCAGGGATTATAGTTCAATCTACCAACTAGTACTGACATTATTGGCACCAGGTAGGTTGCAGTAATGGGGTCAATGTTTGTGGGAATGGGTAAGGAGTCAGCCAAGGTGGCACTAAACACATTGCTGAGTTATAAGGAGAGCCCCAGGCCAGCAGTAAGTGGGGTTTGGAGTGGGGAATGACTGAAAGGAACATGGGAAAGCCTGACTTGGTCAAAGAAGCTAAAAATCATCTTGTTTGGGTCCAGCAGTAAGGTTTCCCCTCAGTGATGCTGCAGCAGCAGTGATGGGGATAAGCCATGACTCTGCCCCAGGGCCATTTCTGTAATGTTCCTGAATGCTCTGAAGTCATCAAATGCTTATACCTGGAGCTCCAAGTTTAAGCGAGACAGGGGTGCAAAGACAGGACCAGGTAAACTTTGGGGTGGTTCTAGGTAAGCAGGGTGAGTTTAATTAGGGACTCCCCTACCTCCTGATGTGGCCATCAGAGACTCCTGGAAAAGATGATTTGCCAAATAATGGACTAGATGACTATCACCCCCAAAAAGGTCTTCTGTAGGCAGCTACGTGCCAGTTAACTAGTGTGGGTATTGCTGGATCCCGTTCCCTTCCACGAGGGTGGTAAAGTGTCCTTTGCCCTTGAGAAACAGCTTCTGTCATAGTAAAAAGTCTATGTAAAAGAGACACTTCAGAAAGTGTTTTTGGACCACAGAAATTACTTCCTATGTGTAGTAGGACAGAATCCCTCTGGTCTTGGCTGATTTCATGCAATCATCCCAAAGCTGAGTACGGGTTGAGGGTATATAGTCAAAACCCTTGACCTTTAATAGAAGCCGAAGGGCAGGTCTGAGAAACTATGGATTCTGGAGGAGAGGCCGATGTCGAATTCAAATTAAGTAAACATTTATTAAGCTACTATTATATGAAAAGCACTGGGCTAGGCATTAACAGAGATGTCAAGTTTAGCTAAGAGATAATTCCTGTCCACATGACCTTGGATACTAAGCATGACCTCGGAGGTATGACCAAGATGAGCGGCTGCAGATTAGGTATCCATCACCATTCCATCACTACTAGGGATTCATCACTGCAGACTTCATGGGAGTATCGCAAGAATACCACATCTAAGCAAGAAGAGGTATTCATTGCACCGGGGAGAGAACTGGAGACTAGGAGCAGATGAGGATAATGTGGCCCAGAAAGATGACGTGCCTTGCTCAAACACATACAGCTCATAATTTGGTAGAGCTGAGATTTATATCCAGGTCTTCTGACTCTCAGGCCAGTGCTCTTTCCACTATACACCTGTTTCTCATTAAATCAGAATGTCATCACACCAATGGAAACAACAGAAACCTAAGTTAGGATTGAGGGCTGGGTCAATCACATACTAGATGGCTAAGGACAGGAGCTGAGATGAGGATGAAGCATTGAGACCAGAATAGAGATGAAGAAGGTCAAACAGGGCCAGGTGCAAAACTCACCATTGAGTGATGATTTTCTTTACTTAGCCTGTCCCCTGCAGCAGCGATGAGTCAGTTCATGTTGACCAAGGCCAAGAATAATATGCTTTCTGCTATAAATTCTCTGATTTTCAGTAAGAAATGATCGATTAGTGTAAGTTTTCCTATATTAATCCATTCTAACATTCACAGAATGTTAGCGATGCAAGGAAACTTACAGCTTATCTCATTTAGCCCCCTCATTTTACAGATGAGAAACTCAAGGCCCTCCATTAGTCATCTAGGAAGTACCAGAGATGGGCCTCAAGCCTAGGTCATCTAGGTCATCTAAGTCTTTTGATTCTCAGGCCACAGTGATTTTTCCACCATATCATGTTCATGCTGTTTCAGTCCAATATGGATTCTCTGGTGTTTGGTGAGGTATGAATTCTTACTGAAGGCTTTCCCACATCCATTACATTCATAGGATTTCTCTCTAGAATAAATTCTTTCATGTTTCATATGGAATAAGATATCACTAAGATTTTCCCATATATATTACATGTATGTGGTTTTTCCTCTACTGTCGATTCTCCAATGTTGAGTAAGGGATGAACCATCAGTAAGCTGTTTTCCATGTTCATTATAGTCATAGGTGGTTTTCCAGTATGGATTCTCTCATATCTAGTATAGTTTGAGCTCTGCTTGAAGGATTTCCCACAATCATCACATTCCTAAGGTTTCTGTCTGGTATGAACTCTCTGATGTTGAATTAGAGACCCATTATTAAAGGGCTTCTTACATTTATTACATCATAAGGTTTATCTCCAGAATGAAATGCTCAAATGCTGAGTAAGTTTGAACTGTGGCTAAAGGCTTTCCTACATTCATTTGATTCATGGGTTTTTTTTCCAGTGTGGATTCTTCGATGTTGAGTAAGTAAGGGGCTCTGGTTGAAGGTTTTCCTACATTCCTTACATTTAAAGGGTAGCTCTTGGGCATGAATCTTCTGATGTACTGAGGCATGTATGCAGGCTGAAAACTTTTCCACATTCACTACATTCCCATAATTTCTTAACAATATGAATGTGATGTTGTATGATGCTCAACTGTGAATAACTTAGCTATTCTCAGCAATACAGTGATCCAAGACAATTTCAAAGAAATCATGACAAAAAATGCTATTCACCTTTACAGAAAGAAATTATGGAGTCTGACTGCAGAGCAAAGCAGACTATTTTCACTTTATTTTTTTTCCATGTTTTTTTTTTGTTTGTTTGTGTCTTCTTTCATAACATGACTAATATGGAAACATGTTTTGCATGATTGCACATGTGTAACTTAAATTAAACTGCTTAGTGTCTCTGGGAAGGGGAAGGGAGAGGAGAGAGGAAGTAAATTTGGAACTTAAAATGTTAAAAAAACTAATATTCAACATTGTTTTTATGTGTAATTGGGAAAAATACTGTCCAAGGGAAAAAATTCTTCAGATTTTTTAAAAAAGGAGCCCCAACATTTCCCCCCAGATCTATGATATCTTATCATCCGTGGATCAGTCCCTGCACATCTTCACAGTTGGGCCACCTTCAGAATGGGCCTCCTCTCACATCTGGTTTCCCATGTGTCATCCTCCTTCCAGGTTCTCCTTCGGATGGCCTGGGACGACTTGGCTTCGTTGGGTCTTAGCTTTCTTCAAACACACTGGCACATTCTGTTGCTTCCAGTGAGGCGCCGTCTTCCGTCATCCCTTTCTGCAGAACCACTCAACGCTCCAAGTTTAGGTCAGTGAGCAGCAGGTCCAGAGGAGGTGGAGACAAAGGCACGGGCTTTGGGAGAGGGGAAGGAGGCAGTCCCACCAAGGTAATCCCAGCCTCCCTGGTGCCTAGGCTCTGGCTCCAGAGCTGGAAGGAATCTGGGACCGCCTAGTGCAGCCTCCTCATTGGTCAGGTAATAGCTAGTAAGTGCTTTAAGGGCTTCTCTGCACTTTGCAAATATCTAATTTTATCCTCACAGCAACTCTGGGAGGTAGGTGCTATTATTATCCCCATTTTACAGTTGAGGAAACTAAGGTGGGCAGCGCTGAAGTGACATTCTCAGGGTCTTGGAGCTTTAAAAGTGTCTGAGGCTGGACTCGAACTCGTGTTTTCTGACTCCGGGTCCAGCGCTCTCTACGGCGCCCTCTAGGGGCCTCTTAGGACAGTGAAATAACTCGCTCGAGGTCACACCAGCACAGGTGCCCGAGCAGGGCCCTCTGACTCCAAAAGTGATGCCCTGCCCCCATCCCAGATAGTGCACATTGACATGGTGGCTCACACCTGCCCCCCACCCCAGGTGCCCTGCCCCGGTCAGTGATGGGTCTGAGGAGTGGAGGTCAGAGGCCAGCGCTTCAGGGCTCAGCCGGGATGGTCCAACGGCGGGCACCACCCGTGACATCACCAGGCAGCAAACCGCGCCTGCGCAGGCTCAGAGGTCAAACTACAAGTCCCAGAATCCTGCGGGGCCGGGCGCTTTCTGCTCCCATACACCATTTCCCAGCAGCCCTTGGGGTACCGGCCTCTTTAAGGGCTGAGGAGGCTTCGCTCCCGAGGTTAGCGAAGTGAGTGAGGAGACTCCACTCTCGGGAGAGGAGCCACTCCTCTGGACCGGGGCGGGGGCCTCGGAGGTTTGGCGGCGTTGGGACTGGCCCGCTCGGCCCCACGAGGAACCGAACCTAACCGAGCCGCCGCCCCGCCTCTCCGTCTGCGCGTGCGCGGGAGGGAGCCTCCCACCTGAGCCCTGGGTCCGGGGTCACCTCCCAACTGGGGCCTTGTCTCCCTCCCTCCCCCCGCTGCCCTTGGGAGCGTCCGCAGGGGTCCGGCCGGGGGTCCAGCCCTCCCACAAGGATTCACGCCGGGGAAGCCCCCTCCCCATTTCCGTAGCGCCCCCAGGCCAGACCTCTGAGCCTAGAACTTCTAGAACTCGGCAGGCCCCGGGTGGGGGGGGGTGGTCTGCGGCCCCCGGGCGGGGCTGGGGGAGTGGATAGGAGGGGTGGACCCCGAGCTGGGTGAGTGGGGGGTGAGCAGAGGCGCGCTGGCAGGTCTGGGGGAGGGGAGGGGAGGGGCGCCGAGGCCACGGCCCCCGACCCAGACAGTGAGCACGAGCCCACCCACTGCGCCCCCCCCAGCTCCCCCAAGGCCTTGTCGTCTGCGGTCAAGGTCGCAGACCTTGTCCTGTCACCCAGGCGGGGGCGCGTCTGGCCCCCTTGTTTCCCATAAAAGCTCCGGGGAGAGAGGCCGCTTTTCTTGGTTAAAACCCCTCCAGCCGGTCGGTGTCCGAGCGATCAGCCCCCTGCCCTGATGGTTCCAGGGCTGGTGAGTCAATGCAGGGATCGGGAGCGAAGCGCGGGTTGAACGACCCGCTCCCGTACCGGGTGTGAAGGACCCAGGGGCGGTGCTGGCTGCCTTCCCAGACCAGCGCTGCCCCCGTCCTCTTCTGAGCACAGGGGCAAGCGCTTTTGCTCACGTCTTGAGTGGAGGGGCATGGGCATCTTCGGGCATAGAAAGAAGAAGGAATGTTCTTGGGATCTCTTACTCCAGCAAGTACAGGACGACTTCCCTGCCCGGTCTGTGGAGATTTCCAGCTTGATGAACCTGGGTCAGATTGGGTAGTTCTTGTCTCCCTCACCATTCCTGTTCCCTCCCTCAGCTCTGGCTTCTCAAAATTCTGTCCTTCCTGTAGAGGAGAGCACAGAGGAAGAAGAAATGTCTCCTGGGCTCCTAACAGACAGCTCCCAGGTGAGGGGAGGTTTTTCCCACCCTCTTTTGGAATATCACCAGAGTTCTCAGAGAGTGGGCAGCACATCTGTTCCTTCATTCTGGAATTTCTTTGTCCAACAGAGTACCTTCTGGGGACACACGTTATAGCTTGGTCTCCCCCAAGAGACTTTTCACCTAATCATTTAGTTCAAATCGAATGATTACCATTTGTGTAACATTCTCCCTCAGTAGGACCCTCCTCCCCATGCAATGCTTTTTTCCTTCCTTTAAATGTGTTTGTTGAGTACCTATTATCTTCTCTGTGCTGAGCTAGGTATTATCATGGATATAAAATTAGAGCTGCGGGGCCCTGACCTCAGGGAGCTTACAATCTAACTAGAGAGACCAGGAACATAGGCAGTTCAATGACTACAAGGAGGGGACAAAGAAAGTAAAGATGCTGATGCTACAGATAACAGCTTCCTGGAGAGGATCATGAGAACTGAGGCCTCAGAAGAATGGCTAGGATCTTGATAATTGGAGAGGAGAAGCTGGAGGGGATGCTAGACAAAGGAGAATAACTGAGAGAAAGCTGCAGAAATAGGAATCAAGGGGACAATGAGTGTGTTAGGGAGTACTTGTGCTGCGTAATGCTCATGTAGCATGGGGCTGCTTGTTCCTTCACCTCCATTCCCTTTCATACCCATTGACATAAGGTTGCATCTTAGTAAAGGTTCTGCCTTCCTCGTTAGGCAGGTGGGGCTGGAATGAAAACAGGGCATTTCTAGTGCTTTGCTTATAGGCTGCGTTTACACCCTTGTGAGCCACCATGGGAAAGGAGCTGCATATCAGAGATGTGGTAGGGGTTCCTTTCATCATGCTGGCAAAATAAGCTTCATTAAGTGAATAAAGCTGTTAAACATCCATTGGAGTTTTTCCTCTCAGCCAATTACCTTAAAAACCATGTGTGTAATCACATACATAGCACTATTCAAGGTCAGATAAGTGTCAGCTTAGTGTACTAGTATAACTTACATTTGCCTTTTTAAGTACAGCTGTATTATATATTCAAAACTACTATAAATTTCTGCTTCATAATCTTAGTTGGGGTCTCATGGCTGCTTCTGTTCTGCATAACTGACCCTGAATTGCTGATTCCTTATTTCATCTCACCATTCCTCCTAAATTTTTCCTTTCTCCTCAAGCTCCCAACTCTTGCAGCAGATGACATAACCTCTTACTTCACAAAGAAAGTTGAGGCCATTTGTTAAGAGCTCCTTTGATGGCCTACAATCTTCAAAATTTCTCAGCCTCTTCTGTCTCTGAGAAAGAGCTCTTTCTCTAATCACTTGTATCCTTAATTCCATTCTTTCTGGGTCCTTCAGGGCTTTGTTCCAGCAATTATCCCCTCTTCCTCATGCATTTTATAAGAGCTCGTTAGAGAAGTTTGTAATCTTTTTGATGCTTTAGTACTCATTCTCCCTTCTAATTTTAGTATTCTCTTTATCTGCTTGTATTTTAGGTTTTTAATTTATTTTTCTTCCTCTTTAAATCTTAGGTGGCTTTAGCCCTTTTTTCTTACATTCCCCTGTCACTTGTTTTCTCACCCATTCCCCTTTGGTGGGACCCTAGGGCTAGACTGAAAAGCTGTTTTAGCCTTCTTCCATGTTAGGGAATTTATTTTCACCAGCCTTGATCATTGCTCTAGGTTGTTTCTGGAGGGACAAGACTGGGTTTCCATTTTTTATGCCCCAGTAACCAGCTGTGCTGTTCCTCTGTTCCATCTCAGACTTTCATTATTTCCTTCTCCATCTGGGCTAAATCAGCTTCTACCACTTTTTGCAGGGTCAGAGGGCAGAGTGGGCACAGAATCCTTGCACTGTTAAGGCTCCACCACTTTGGGTGGAAGAAAGCTGAACTCTCTCCCTTTCCCCATTTCCCTGGCCTCTCCTTGGATGGCTGGGCAGAGTCATTGTCTGCGGCTTACTGCAGTGGTTTGAGTAGGGGATGGTGTGCAGCTGCAGTCTCTATAGCAGGGGTGAAACCCCACAGTGGGTCCCAGGCAAAAGGTGGGGGGCAGTTTGGACACCCTGCTGGCTAAGGGGTGCTATAGGCTATGTGGCGCCATATGGAGCACCATAATGCCTTCTTATTAATTCATAAGGCTGCCACCTTTTGGGGTTTCTTGCTTTCTTGTCTTGTGGATTCAGCTACAGTTGCTCCTCATTTGATGCATAATTTCTCTTTTAGGAGGTTTTTGAGAGCTAGTGGGAAGCTAGAGATGATGCCTAGTCTGCCATTTTGTTGGTCATGTGCCTCCCTCACACATCTAAAGCGGTGCAGTTCCTTCTGTCTCCTTACAGACATGCTTGGTCTCCTCAGTTCTTTTAAAAAAAAAGTCTTTAACCCCTTTACTTCATCCAGCTGCTGTGTATGTCATCTTTCTCTGCCTCCTCAGGGATAAAAGACTTTTGCTCTGTTCTTCCTTTGGCTTCCTGAGATAATACACTTTGCTACTTCTCTTCCTGCCTTTCTAGCAGTGACTTCTCTGTCTCCTTCATTGGCTTCTCATCCCTTCCTTAATTCCTTGAGATGAGTGTTCCCTCAGGTCCTGTCTCTTCTTTGCTCTCTCCCTTGATAAGCTCATTCATTCCCATGCTTTCATCTAACAGTATTACACAGCTGACATTATCCTCTGCCCACAATGCCATGTTGACAGCTTTACATCCCTGTAGGACAGCATTTTCTGGATATCCTGCTGGCCCCTCCAGTTCACGCAAACTGGGCTTACGCTTTTTCTTTCCAAATCTGCTTCTTACTTCTGATTTCACTCTATCTTCTTTGCCACTTCTCTCCTCAGTCATTCAGTCACTCAGTCTCTCAGCCTTTCCCTCTCTCTCATTTCTCATATTTAGTCACCTCTCTGCTCCTTTCAGTTAATAGTGGCATTGTAGAAGATGGTGGCCCTCAGCCTCTTCCTTTTACAAATAAGACTCAGAGATATACAGCTAGCCCTAGTTTGCACAAATAGTAAGTAGAAGGCCTGAATTTGAATCCTGAGTCTGCCACATACTAGCCCTGTGACTCTGGGCCAGTCTTTTGAACTCTGTCTCTGGTTCTTCATTTGTCAGGTTAGGATGATAATACCTGCACAGCTCCCCGACAAAGGCATTTTAGTGGTAAATGTCTCCTCTCTTCCTGCAGTAAATCAGCATTTACGTAGTTGTGAGGTCGGGCCGTAACCTATGGGATAAAAAGCAGAATGTTCCATCCGAGTGTATTTTCCCATGGCACAGTCACTCCTCTATCTTCTCCCAGAGAGGCCCTGTTCTTGCTCTCACCTCCTAAGGCTGGAGGTCCTCAGGGTTCTCCCCTCGACCTCTTGTCACGCCTCTCCACACTCTCTTCTTTGGTACCTCACTCACCTAGGCTTTGTCTGCCGCCGCCGTGATGCAGACGGCTCTTGTAACTGTCTCTGTAGCTCTGTTCCTCTGAGACCCAGACCTGTAACGTCTCCATGGTGGTGGCTCAGACGTTCCTCTGCGGCTCTCTGATACCAACCTGTGATTGCCTGTAGGCTACTCTTCACCCGACTTCACTCTTTGTCATTGATGGCCACCCTTTCTCTGCTTTCCCACCTCTTTGATCATTCCTTCTCCCTCTTGGTCAGTCTCTGAACCAACTGTGTTAGTTCTGCATCTCTGTTCTCTTTGACACCCCTTGGGCAGACCCTCCCTCCAACGTGCATCACCTTTACAGTACTGACAGGACTTTGGCCTTCGCTCCCTCTTTCACCAGTCCATCTTTCTCATCATTGTCAAAACTAATCTTTCTTTTTTGTAGTGATTCATTTGGTCCAAAATCTCAAGGGACTCCTTATTGCCAAGTCATTACTCTTTGGTTGGTATTCAGGGCCTTGTGCCAGCCCTCCTTCTTGGCTTGTTTTCAGAGTACCCTCTTCTGTATACTGTCTTTTCTAGTGAAACTGGATTCTGTCCTAGAGATCTCTGCTGGGGCCTTCCTGACCTTCACTCTTCACCTCACATGGCAGTTATTTTATTTTATTTTTTCCCTAATGTCAAGACAATTTTTAGCATTCATTTTTACCAGATTTTGAGTTCCAGATTTTGCTATTTCTCCTCTCTTTTTCTGCTCCCGTTACCTTCCCCTGTTGAGGATTGTCTCTGGGTGAGAACAGGACTGTGTTTGATATTTTAGGAGTCAGTGACATTCAAAGATGTGGCTGTGGACCTCACTCAGGAGGAATGGAGGCAACTGAACTCTGCCCGGAGGGACTTGTGCAGGGAAGTGATGCTGGAGAACTATAGGAACCTAGCTTCATTAGGTAAGGGCGACTTCCCTTTGTCATTCAGAATGTCTTCATTGGACTACCCTCAATTATTAAAACAAACAAACAGATGAAAAGCTACTCTGGGGCTTCTGAAATACTTGGCCTAGTTTGAGCTGAGCTTTGTTTGTCTTCGGGATCCCTTTTGGACGTGGAGATATGGTGGGCTTCTGCTCCTTCTCAGGTGAACAGTCTTTACGTTGTTGTATATGACGTGGCTCCATTGCATAGACCCTGAACCTCAGCCTTCATCTTTGTGAGGTCCTGAGAATCAGTGGGCCAGGATGGAATCCTGGGATGCTGCTTTGGCCATAGCACGGAGACCCAAGTTCTATGTCTTTCCCCACGAGCAGGGCAGCCAGTTTCCAAACCAGCTGTGATCTTCTTGATGATGGAGCAAGGAAAAGAACCCTGGATGGTGCGGAGATCAGTTTCAAGAAATCACTTCCCAGGTGGGAGGCCACAGTCACGAAGGGCTGGGATCTTGGTGATGTTCTATGGGTAGCGCTCGCCTAGGCCTGAGCTGAGGTCATTTGGCATGAACCTGAGCGAGTGCAGGGTCAGGTTTTACATGACCTTAGCTGAGCCCTGTTCTGATATTAGCCTAGCCACTGAATTCCTGAGCAGTGTTCAGCTTCTGCTTGGATACTTCCACTGCTGGAGAGCTCGCTCCTTGTTCTGCCTTTTTATTTTGGATGGTTCTGTTAGGAAGGGCTTGATATTGAGCAGATGGCACCTGGCTTCCTTCTCCTTTCAGTCCTGAGGCTGTCAGTGCAGATCAGAGCAGAGGTAGCCCACGACCTCTTCCACAGGACAGCCCTCCCCACGGCTCCCCTCCGCTTTTGACTTCCCTTCTCACGCTTCCCTCTGGGCGCAGAGCAGCTCTTCCAGAGCCAGGGCCTGCCTCACACCGCGGATCCCACTCCTCGCTTGCTCTGGGACTTCAGTTTTATGGTTATTTCCGTCTTTCTGGCATATTTGGTGCCCTTCTGTTTATGAGGTCCTTCCATTTTCCTTCATTCCTGTCTTTACTGAATGCCCTGAATCCTAGATTTCTCTTCCAGATTTCCTTCCTTTTACAAAGAATTCTGGTGAATGAGGATGCCTTTCTCGGTTTTTCTTGAATTTGTCTGTGGTGCCCCCTGCTTCTGCCTGTGCTTGACCCTGCACTGTCCTTGTCCCTTTCTGCCTCCAGAGCTGTCCCACTTCTCCTTCTGCCTCCCTGGCTTTTCTTCATCCTCCGGCTCACGTGGACCGCAGGGACTCTTTAAGGACTCGGGCTGCTTTTCTTCTTTTTTTTTTATCCCTTCGACTCTACCTTCATTGCTGATAGCTACCAAAGCTGCACTGTTGCAACAGTTGTGAGGATCTACTCAAGTTGCTAGTGTTTAAGGCCATAAAATCCAGCTGTCACCAGAGAAGTGGGGTCAGAACTATCTCTTCTCTGCCCAAAGAGACGAGAGATTATTGTTGATCTCTGGACCTCAAGCCCCAGATGACTTATCTCCAAGGTCTCACCACTTAATTCATTGGGGAAAACAAGACTCTCTCCAGTGGTTTAAATAAACATGGGAAGGTGTCTTTCTAGGTGTCAGATTTCTCACTAAATTTTCCCATGCTCAGAAACCTACAGTAATTCCCTGAAGATGCCTGGTGGAGAGTGGAGGGAAATACAGCTGACTCCAG